ACTAGTCCTGCAGTGTTCTCTCTGCACTCAGCAGAGATGATACAGTTTGTCACACCACAGGTAGTCTGCTAACGATAGCGAAAACATCTCCATTGACTATGAAGAGTATAGGTTGAGTAGTTCAGATATATTATGTCCTATAATGTCATTTAGTCATATGAAGCCCACCATAGGAGGCAAAAAACCTTGCAGTTAGGTAGCACCCCTTCTCACAGAGCTCTCATTTTTTGTGCCACCTGAGGACAACTAGACTTCCAGTTCCCTGCACTAATTTTTCTAGGAGACAAGAGTTGCTGCTGGATTGGTCATGGTCACTCCTCTAACCCAGATACAGACAATAACGCAGGTGGATTGAAAGCAGGCAGCACTCTTTCCTCTCCGTAGTTGGCAATCACACCTCAGCCTCACCTACTCCTTCAAAACAATTTCAACTTATTCAGCTTCACAGTGCTCCAGTACAAAGTTAAAGCAGACAACACAGTCAATTCTCAATGGTTTCTAATAGGATTGAGTTTTCTCAGTACTCTGCAAGAGTTGCTCAGCAGCTCATAGAATCCTCATTCATGACTTCAGTCCCTTTGAAAGCCAAAGACTAATGGAACCAGGCAGCTTCTTCACTTGAAATCCTAGCTTTGCTAATTGGGTATCACAACTAAGAAGTAACATTAAGTTTCCAGACACATGAATTTTCTTGGGGTTTCTGCACTTCCAGAATTACTCAGTAGACTTTTTGGACTAATATATACTTGGCTGTGGGTTGCTTACAACAGTGATTTTAAAAACTTGTGATTTTCATGAATAAGCAGCAATCCAAAATAAGATGCCCGAATAAGTGGCCTGATTTTCATACTACAGTCCTAAAAAAGCAGCTCTTCTAATACCTCCAGCCAGCCAGTCAGTTTTGAAAATTCATGCTACACATATAAAGCTAAACTTTCCATGCAGTTATGAATATGTATGAAAAAAATCATGGACAATCTTTTACTTACTAGATTTCAGCCTGTTGCCAATCTTAAATCACGCGAAAACTACAGAATGAAAGTAAGTAGAGCAAGAAACATGGGAAGACCGCATCTTAACGGTGTTACTGTGCTCTCCCTGCTGCAGAAGGGATTCTGTTTATGGGTCTATGCAAGTATCAGTTTACGAGTAAAATCAACATTTCGCTTTGAAGTTCCCGCTTTGTGCTGCAAAGGAGTTCAACTTGTTTATAATGAGAAGTAGTTGATTAAAGAATTCAAAAGTACTACTGCAGTAGTACTGGGATGCTGGGGAACAGAGAGCCAGGATTCAGGGTTCTGGCATGCTATTCTAAGGCTCTGTAACCAGCCCCATGTATTGTCTGTATTTTATTCCTTTTTTATATATCTTATATCTGTTTCTTGATTTATAAATTTACCAGTAATAGTGATAAGATCATTAGCATTCATACAGTGCTTTGAGATCTTCAACTGCAATTGCAACCCAAGTGCAAAATTGCTCTAGTTTCCCTTAGTAAAAACAGGTGCACAAAGAAAGGACAATTCCTGCACCACCACCTAATGAAAAAACCTTGTGCCTCACCTGAAAAAGATGAGAACTTACACACACTTTGGTAACAATCATTCCTGCTGCTTACTGCAAACACTGGAGATAAAAAAAAAAAAATTAAAAAAAAAAGGTGCCTTTTCTTAAGGGAAACAGAGGGGCTGATGGCACGTTTTCACGTATGTTCTGCTCATAATAACATTTAATTTCCAGCCCAAATATTAATGGAAATATTTAACATGGTTACAGTCTTAATAATATATATATATAAGTACTCCCCACAGTGTCTGCCATCCAAATTATGCATAAACGGAATAGTGCCCAGACTTGGTGAGATAATATAAACAAAATTAGAAACAAAACCAGTAAAGCCACACTGTCCATTTAGAAAACAAACAGTATAAAATGCTAAAATAGATCAGTTAGAAATATTCTATGTAACCTAGAATATTACTAGCAACGTGAAATGCCTTGTTTTGCTTGCTGGTAGTCTGACAGCATGCCCTGGAACCATTCTGCAATGACTCCTAAGCTACAAGAAATGATCACACAGGCTTTCAACGGATGTAACTCAATACACATTTTGGCCCTTTTTACTTTCTGAGAGGTGTAGAACAGTTTGTACGGGTCATTGGCTACTTCCCTGCCCTGGAGCACTTTGCCAGGTTTGGCAGGTTTCAAAAAGGAGACTGTTACCATAGGAGCAGAGAGCCGGGCCAAGGAAAAGAGTGCCACCGAGACTACTGACAAGCTGCTCTTGCATCCACTTCCTTTTTTCAGATGAAGTGGATCCAGCTCTCCTCACATTCTCTAGGCATCTTAAGGGGGTGAGACCGGCAGGTGAGACTGTAGTTTTTGCCTCTGTTGTTATCCCAGTACTCCTGGCCATTGACTTGGTACCTTGCTGCAAACTGGACTACAGAGGACAGCTGAAGGAGGAAAGGAGGCACAGGGAGAAAGAAAGTGAAAACATCGACCTGATCCTGCCCGTTTTTCTCAGGGATGCTACTGTGCCAATGAGCACACACTTCGTGCAGGCTCTTCCACTGGTTGAAGGTGTATCGCACAGATACGTGCTTCTCAAAAGCAACATTGCGAACCTGGATGGTGCCATTGAGCCCCAGATCTGAGCTGGTCACTCGTTCAAGACACACCTGCTGCTCCTGAAGTCGGGATGAGAAATCCATACAGTCTGCAGGCTGCTGGAAGTCAGGGACCAAGCACTGCATAGTAAACTCCAAGTCTGAGCTGCTGTACCACAGGTCTGAGTTTATGGAGAGCCTGGAAAGGACATGCAAGGGGATCGATGGATCCTCCCCAGTCTGGAAGACTTTCACTTCAGTGAGCTCCAAGCCCAAAGCATCAGCAAATCTCACCCTGTTCATACGACTCTGGCATCCAGGAACTTGACACTGCACTGCTGCAAGCTTCCTTCTTTCGGTCGATGCAGGCAAAGATCTTGCTCGGCGGCGTATGATAGGCCGTAATGCTGGATCACAGCTGGAGGAAGTGCTGCTCTGAAGCTTATTTGGCTGAGGGCCCCCCTTGGCCGGGGTACTGCTCCGAAGAGTCAGGCTGCTACTTGTATGGACTGCTGGGGGCTGCTGCTGCCCTCGTCCCGGTGCTTCTTCAGCCCGTAACATGTTCTGATAGAGATCAGAGAGGTAGCTGGGATTCCTCCGAGGACCACGTACCTCCATTCTTAACCGATGACAAAAAATCAGTGTTAACACTGCAGGTAATAATGAGCAGTGCCTCTCCGAAGCACGTAACTTGGGAACGGCGGCCACGGACAGCAAGTATTTGAGTTTATTGCACTGGACGCAGCAAGAATCAACTGGAACAACGTAGCCTCCTGAATGAAGGGCAGAAACCTGGAAGCTCTCACAGTAGCTGGAAGCGAACCAGAGGCTAGCACGTTGTATGGGGCGACGAAGGCGGTCTCACTGGCTGGTAAACTCGAGGCCGCTGTGCTGGCTGGTGGACCCGTTGCTCAGGCTGGAAAGGGATTCAAGGCTATCACCGTTGATGCTGGAAGACCTGAAGCTCTCACGCAGGCTGGAGACCGACTGGAGGCTGTCGTGCTGGACACCGAAGGACTCCAGGCTGTCGGAGAGGTCGCCGGATGCCCGGGGGTTGCCGTGGTGTGCCCCGAAACACCCTCGCCCGTTACACAAGGCCTGAGGGGCCTGCAGGCTGTCCTCGCAGACGCCGACCGAGCCCGCGCTCCTGCAGCAGCAGCAGCAGCAGGGACACTCCAGGCTGTCACACTGGATGCTGGGCGACTCGCGAGGGCTGCCGAGGCTGGGGAAGGCTTGGAGGCTGTCGAGCGGGAGGGAGCCGGAGCCGAGGCCGGGGCTGCTGCAGAGGCTGGAGGGAGCTCGGGGGCTGTCGCGGCGGAGGCTGTCGGGCGGGGCCGCGGAGGCGGGCTCGGTACCGTGGCCGGAGGGGGAGGGATCCACGTCTGGGGACTTTGCAGCCCACATCAGCTGCACGGTCCTCCCTCCGCCCCGCGGCGAGGCGAGGCGATGCCCGGCCTGCCCCTGGGCCGGCGGCGGGCAGAGCGGCGGCGGCAGCCCCGGCCCGGGACGGGACGGGACGAGACACCCGCCCCGCGGCACAGACCGCCACCGCGTCCTCTCCCCTCACGGACGGCGCATGCGCAGAGTCTCTCCCCTCCCGGCCGCCCTGTCGAAGCGAACGGCCTGTGCGCGCCGCCGCCGCGCGCCTGCGCACTGCGCGCCGGACGCCGCTGCCCTCGACCTGCCCTTAGTTGCCGGTGGCGGCTGAGGCGAAGGCAGGTACCGGGCGGGCGAGTGGCGGGGGGCTCGGAGGGCTGGAGGGGAAGGGAAGGAGAGAAAAGGGAAGAAAGATAGGAAGGCAGAAGGTGCGCGGAGGCGGTCCGTTAACGAACGAGCTGCCCTGCGGTCGTTGGCGTTAGGGAGCGCGGCCGCAGTTGGCGGCGGGAACGGCTGGTGCCTCCCCGGAGGGAGCGGAGCCTGCGGCCGCTCCCGCCTTCCACCGGCCCTTCTTTGCTGGTGGGCTGCCCCGGTCCCGAAACCGCCGGGCCCCGGTCCGTCGGGATCCGGTAGGTGCTGGGGACAAACCCCCGCCCTGTCCTGCGCTCCCTCCTCGGCCGTGGCGGGGAGGCGAGCGGGAGGGAGGCACCGAGGAAATAGGACAGGATCAGGTGTAAATACATGGAGACAGGAATATAAGTACGTGGATAGCGCTGCAACCGAACCAACGGTGGGTCGGGAGAGGTATTTCGGTGCGGGGCATCTGTCGCCTTTTGCAGATCGTGTCTCTGCCCCCCTGGTAGGGGGATGCGGTTTCTGGAAAGTAAAAGAACGCTACGAATTCTGCTCTTTGAGTATTTTTAGTAGGAGCTTGTGAGTGCTGAGAGATTTGTTGTGGAAAAAAGAAAAAAATTAAGTATTTGATACAAAATTTGCATATATGAATACAGGAAGAGCGCATTTTCTGATACAAAAAGGACAACTCAACATGCACGGAACGCAGGTGGTTGATCATCTGTTCTTGTTAAATTAAGAGCAGAAACACCCACCACCATTTGACTGTGATACTCGGCTCCAGTCAATACATGTAATGCTGCGCAGGAGGAACAAAATGATGATGAGCACGTTACACAATGAAAAGTAGGTCTTCTAACGCTGCTGTACCTCCAGATATTTTCCTGTGTTTTACCAACAATCTTTCAGGGACAGGCTTGTAAACCTCCTGGCAAGAGCTCGGTGCTTTGCGGGGCAGCTGGCCCAGCCTCCCTCGGTACTGATGCGGTACCGGGACTGACGGACGGGCTGTGCCCGGTGGCTGCGGCAGCAGCAAGGGCTTCCCACAGCAAAGCCTGCGCCTGTCTCCCTTGGCTGGCTTTGGCCGCTGTGCTCTGCAGCTTTAGTGGCCAACCTGTGCCCCTGGGAGGGGGAGCAGGGCTGCCCTCGCCCCTCGGCTCTCCTCCCAGGGTGATGGCAGCTCGGCGTGGATCGACAATAGTTAAGGCGAATGATGCTGGTTCTCATTAAGCGAGCGCTGGGGGAGGGGACAGTGTTTTCCAGTACCGTTTGGTAGCTGATTATCTTATTGCTTTATAAATAAATCACGTTGGGAGGAATTGCATGGTGTTTGTTTACTGCATCTCTAGGACGTGGTGATGATGTTTGCATTTGATACGCTGTGTCTTACAAACCCAAAAGACTGGAGTCATTTGAAGATTATGTAAAAATAAAGGAGCAGATACCCTTTAAAAAGAATAATAATGGGACCAGGCATTCAAGAATATCCCTTATTACTGCACAGAGAGACACAGAAAAAGGAAAGCCAAATCAATGAAAACCACAAAGGAATGGTAAAGTAAGGAAATTATTTTCTCTCTTTCTAGTTACAGAAACCTCTAAATACTGTAGATTAGTTAATAAGTGCATGGCTGTCCTGTTCAGATTGTCATCATCCTCTCCTCTGATCCCACAGCAACAGAAACGATTGTGCAGTATGATCATGCAGGTCGTAAAGTGACAGAGTTGACTGCATCAATGCTGGAGCCACAAGACTTATTTTCATTCTTTTACAAGCTCTTGACATGGTGAAATCATGTTTTTTAAAACAAAATCTGACTATACTGACATAAAAACTGTGAACAAGATGTACAGCCTGACAAATTAACTGAACTGCAGTCAAACTAGATGAGACCAGGAGGGCACAGTTTGCTTATTCCTGTTCTAAAATGACTTTTTAAAGCTTTCCTTTTTAAAATTAATAATATTTCTTGTTTGTTGAACAAACACTGTTTTCTGATTCTTAAGAAATACACTGATTTAATGGTTCTGTGTGCTTACACAGAAATGTATCTGATTTAATTGAGGAAATATGTATTTTAGTTTTAACCTGTCCAGATCAGTAATGCCATTCCTTTTGCTTGCATATGAGTTTTTCTCCTACTAATATTTCCACAACTCATCACAATATGAAATGGTGAATTTTGTTTATGCCTTTGTTGTGAAGTAGTTTATATTAATATCAGAATAGACTCTGTGCTCCCTGCTCACTTCCACTGCTAACTTCATAGGAATAATCCTTTAAATTTTGTTAAGAGTATGCAAATGAGAAAGGCAAGCAAGATTTGGTTTGCAGTGGCCTTCATATCATATTTTATAATTAATTTTGTTAAATTGCAGTAGGACCACGTACCAGGTACTATAGAAATCAGTAGTTAAACATGTAGTCTCTAATATTTACTATTTGTTATCCCCAAAGTAACTTTGGGATCCTCTGATAGAGGATTCTATATAAGGGCTAATTTCTATTATTATATCATCTGGTTGAATTATTCACTTTTGCATTAGTAGTATAAAAAATAAAAAGTGACCGTAGCATAGTTCTGATGAACTTTAAGTCTAAGAATAGTTGCAGTCAACTCTATCTCTTTTTAAAACTGAATTGCACTCTAAACTTTTATTGTATTTCTGTTCTGATGATTGTATATGTTGCTATTTTTAATCCTTCCTAGTTACAGTAATGGAAAAAGCCATCCAAGCACCAAAGGACTAAATAAACCAGTTTCTCATGTGAAATCTTCTCCTGGAAGATTAGGCAAAAATGTATCAAGTGCCACTGAAAAGGTATATCATTCCATTTTTTTGTTTACAGAAAAAGGGTACTTTGTTTATGTCAGCTTCTTAATAACATCACATAATTTCATATCTTTCCAGATTTCCCATGACACTCAACATGGTAACCAACCAAGTATTTTTAAGAAGGGAAGAAACCAGCTGGATGACAATTCTCAGTCAAAAAGGTAGTTTTATGTTAAGATTGTGTGTTTAGTTTGTAGTCATTTCAAACTGGTATATAAAATGCTTCTGATGAAGTCATGGCTTCTGTTTTGCTTTTGACTTCACTGGCCCCAGAATTCAGCATTTATGAGTACAACAAATTTATCAGTATGGAAACTTACTATCCTGCCTTAGTGAGTTCTCAGGCAAAATCAGAATAGAATAAAACAAAAAAACAGTACTAGGCGGTGTTATCTCTGCCAGCAAATACTAATTTTACCTCATTACCAAATTTCCATGCCAATTTTAGCTTCATTCATGTAGATCCATGTCCCTGAAGGGGGTAGCAAGACCTTTGTAAACTGATGTTCCAAAGACATTAATCATTCTAACAGGATGTGATCTTTCTTTTTATTTAGGATCACGAGTGTTTGCACATCGCTGCACAGAGTACAAGGACCAAAGAGGAGTCTCCCAGAAAGAAGGCAAAATGAATCTTTTCTGCACAGGATCCCTCCTAGCATAAAGGGCAGCACACAAGGTAGCTTCTGTAGGGTTAAAGATGTCCCAGTGCAACATTTTTATTGCAGTAAAAAAGAACAGTTGGAAAAGAATCACGAAGAACATGTTGCTCAAGCTGGTCCGTGCTCTTCTAAATGGCAAGAAGCATCTGTAGATGAAATGGTTCTTGATTTTGAATCAGTACAAATTATTAAAGAAGATGCTGAAGATGATAGTGCCAGTGATCTGTCTGATTCAGAAAGGATTCCCATTGCCCCGTCCCCCTGCACACCACCAGAACTCATTCTCAGAGCTGAAGAAATTGATCCAGTTTGTTTGGAACAAGTCTCTGATACGGGTTTTAAAGAATCAGAATATTACTACCCAGACTTCCTCCCACCCCCTTTCAACTCATGGAACTTGAAGCAATTAGCCATCTTTGTTAATGTAGAGGGTAAAACTGAATTTCGACCAAAGCCAACAGGATTTCTTGAGAAATACATTGATCGCCTTCTGCAGCTGGAATGGCTGCAAATGCAGACTGTACAGAACGAGAAAGGAAAGGCAGCCAAAGCCAGGCCACAGACTGCTCCCGGCTCCATCCGTACCCTAAAAAGTCCTGGCAAAGGCAAAGCATTGCTCAGCTCTTTGCCTAACAAGCAAGTGGTTCCCCAAGAAAGTGTTACAAAGCTGCCCAGAAGCTATGCAGGTCACAGGGGAGATTCATACTGTGAAGAAAGTCGCCAGTTAGATTCTCATCCACGTCACCTGAAATTTTCTGAGAGAGTGGGATGTGCAGTGTCTTCTCAGAGACAATCTGGTGAAGTAAGGAGTGAACAGATAAAAAAAACAGCTGCAAAGCAACAGCTTCTCAATATGCAGCCCCCTGAGAACAGTACTAAAATTCAAAGTGTTGGTAATATCAGACCCCCTAAGCAAACCCCAGTATTTCATGGTTCAGCTGCTCCCATCAAAGGCTTAAAAACATACGCATGTACAAATCCAAAGAAAAATGGCAACGCCAACAATTATGTTCCTTCTAAAAAACCAACAGGGGACAGGAAAATAAAAACAAATGGCACGAAACAAACATCATGCAAATTTAAATGAAGAAAAATTCATTAGTAAATTTTGATGGTTCTTGACTGCTAGAAAGCATTTGGCTAATGCAGAAGGGTCATGTTTTCTTCATAGGAAGATCCTGAGAAAATATGTTCTTGATGCATGCTTCTAAGTCAGCACTGTTCATTTCAATACATTTGATCTTAAGCCAGCAAGGCCAGCAGGAAATCTTTTCCCTGAAGGCAAGTGTCTTCCATTGGTCTTTCCTCAAAAATATTTACAATTGTTCAATGAAGATAACAATAGCAGAGTATGAAAGTTGAGAGAAATGTATAATTATAATGTGTCCTCCTATTTGCACCAGTTGAAGTCCATTGAAGTCTGTGGTGTTTCTTACACTTGGTGTATTTGAGAGAAAAGGATCCATGCTCTTTTTCTTGAACAGATGTGCTATTTTGTGAGACAGGTTTGATGGTGGTGTTTTCTGATGGAAAAGGGCTGAAGTGTTTTTGTAAAATAATGGAGTGTGCTTATCTATGCAAAGTCAAACTAATTCTTCACAGAAGATGATGAAATTTTTTGATGAATTAGATTATTTTTTTTTTATAAGAAGAAGAATGCAGATAATGTTTTGAAATATTTTAATGCAGAAAGGATTCTTTTTAAGACAAAAAATTATTAGGGAGCAGACAGCTTCCATAGAGACAGATTAGGAAAATGGAATGCATATTTTTATACCCAGAAATCTTCACTGTGTTTACAGACAACTTCCCTTGAAGTTAATTTTCTAAGCTTTGATGCTTTTTGTCATTTAGAGGAAATGACCAAATTTCAAATTGCACATGGATATATATGACTAATGCAAAATGAAGGTATTACTAGAGACTCTTGGGCCTAATTTGCAGAACTGGTAGCTTCTCAAAACCTAAAAAATAGACTCTTGGGGGATGAATTTAAAGGCTATTGTAAGTTCAAGTAAAGATATATTTTGATACAAAAGATACTTGTTTCCAGTCACCCGAGATGACTGTTATTTATCCCATGGTCCAGTCTACTTCAGTTAGCTTGGGTTCTTGTTTCAAGGTTTAGTGAAGTGACATGGGAAAATACCCTACAGAAGGAAATTGTACAACCAGGATCGGGTCCTGTCCTCGGACTCTCTGTTTTCTCTCGTGTCTGTGAGATACAAGAGAATATGAAGGATAGTTCAGTGAGTATTCAAGTGTCAGTTCATCTGTTACAATTTCAAATCAATCACAGCAGCTGGGGACATGATCTTGTTAAAGATGAAATTCTAGAGGATGTTTTGTACCTTCATTTTAAAATTAAATACTGAGCAGCATTAACTTCATCCTTGGCCACCAGTCACAGGGAACTGTTTATGAGAAGTGAGCTGAGGTCTGATGGACCAGATTTTACAAGTAGATCCTTCACATTGTGATAGAAAATGAAAAAGTAGCAAATACTAAAAAGTACATTATGTATATAGTTAAATTGCACTTCTCTTGTTGATCTCATCTTGGTTTTAAGATGCTTAGCTGTTTCTATTCTTTCATTGTGCCTACCAGATCTTCAGCTTTGTAAAATTTCAAAGCATGGATTTATATGTAGTTTAAAATGTGAGAATATTAATAAATGTAGTAATAAACTAGAGTATTTTACAGTACATAAAAACGTTGCTCAGGAATAGTCTAAGAAATATTTTTAGTGTTTTTTTCGTAGTCTACTGGAGACCAAATGTGAAATTTTAAATTGATAAAGGAAGCGAATGTAATATACAGTATTATATTTCCAAATTCAGTATTTGTGAAGTTACAGTTAAAATGATTTGTAGTTGCATGTACATTCAGCTCTATGCAATTAAAGTGAAACTTAATCTGACATGCTCAAAAATCAAATAAATTGGCTGTGTCAGAGGTGTGGTGAAACTTAGAAGATGGCATTCAACACCAGCAACTGCAGAGGACCAGCATATTCTATTGTTGCTATTTCATCCTTTTGTTTTGTTCCAGACTCATGTATTTCAGCTTTTTTGTTAGACGAAAGGTTCTTGCATCCAGTGCTAGAATTTCAAGTGCTGGCTGAATTCTGCAAGCCTTCATTAGTCAAGTTTTCCTGACTCACATTAACAGTAGTGAAAGTCAGTAGGACTGCTCTTGCCAATAAGCACTACTATAGTGCGCAATTTTAGTACACTGTTTTAGTGCAGTATTACAAGCACCAGAAGCAAGGTGAGCAGGATCAAATCAATAGTCAGAATAGCAGTTTTTTTAAACAAATTCTGTTAGATGCAGTAATTAATTTAGCATGTTATTGTAGCACTGAATGTTAGTGTCTGCTAAATTTTCCTCTGAAATGTTATTCTATATCGATGCTTTCCTAGGTTATAAGGAGGGCACGTGCATACAGGCACATTTTGCATGATCACTTCTTAAAGAATAAATAAATAGTGCTTCAGTTAGCTTTGACCAGAGCAAAGGTGATTGGCACTGAGAAGTTTTTTCTCACAGACCTAGGAAAGTTTTGTTTTAATGTAGCCCTTGTGATCTGATGGACATCAATCTGTTGTTGGAGACTAAACAGTTACGCAGGTGGAGATGGTGATGCCACTTAAAATAAGTCTGAGTACTTGTTCATCATTAAGCTCTGGCTGCAATCTGGCCAAGTAAGTTTGTCTCACATGATAATCACACAAGTCTAATTTTTGTTCATTGATTTCATACTTCTTACACAGTTGTCTTTGTTCACATACAGAAATAGAAATTCTGTGTTTGCCTCAACAAACAGCTCTTAGGGTGGCAGACCTCCAAGGGGTTGGGTTTTATCCTGCAGCACTTTTGCTTCCATTTTAACTTGACTGTGTTCTGGGCCTATAGATAAAAAGAGCTGCTTTTATGAAGAGGACTATGGTTTCTGTTTCCTTCATTTTGTGTTGATGGATATTGTCTTTAGAAGCACTTCTGAATACAGCAGAAAAGTTTATTCCATCAAATACATTCAGTTTGGAATTAAAATACTTCCACAGCACAGTGTTTGTGTAGCTATTTATATTTTTTCACTATGTTTAGTGATATGGTCATATGCCTGTCTAAGCCTAGCATTGATGACGGTTCTTGAAGAACAAGTTTACTGTGATGTGAGATATTTAAACAGCGATTTATTTATTTTTTTTCTAAATAATTTAAAGGTTTAATGTTCTGCAGTACTACCTGCAGAACAAATACGCTCAGGTTGCATTTTAAATAAATAGCCAGATTCTACTTCAGTTATGCTAGTATAAAGTTTGAACTCTGTTGTTTTCAATGAAATTACCCTGTTACAAAGATGTGAAGAAACAGAATTTTACTCTAATATGTATAAGCAGTTTTCCTCAGTAATGCTAAACTGTATTTTTAATGCATAACATGAAGAATTTTAAAACAATATTGTTTTTCTCTTGATGTGTTTCTTTTTTTTTTTTTTTCCATTACTTGCCCCTCTGCAGTGAAATACTGTGGTCAGTTAAAGTTTTACCTCCCCCACACCCCTTCACACCTTGGGGTAGCTTTCAGTTATATACAGCAGTTCTGAAGTTTCTGCACAATGCCTCCAGATCCTTATTCTGTTAGCAGCACAGCTTCTGCATTTACTCAGAATTTATGCTCCAAAGAGGGGTTATCATTGTGTGAGCAATGCATACCATTCTGGGAAGAGGGGCTTCACATCTTCCTCAAGTGAAGAGCCTTGCAAGGAAGACTTGATCCCTACTGCTGGTTCAGTATCCTAAATCATGGGGTGTTTCCTTGTTAAGGCTGATAAGATGGACTGTAATTTTCTTTCCAAATGAGAGATTACGTTTGCTGGTACAAATTCAGGGTAGTGGGGTGACAGTGCTTCTCACAGAGGCAAAAAGGCTCAGCAGTATTTGTTCTGAGAAAGTTAAGTTTAGAGCAAATGGGTTGCCAGAAGTAGGGAGCTCTCGCCTCCCACCGATGCCCCTCTCCCTGGATGCTGTGCCCGTAGCTCCCAGCTCTGCCGCCTGTGTGCTGCCGGTGCCCCTCTGCTTTTTGCTGCTGCCTTGTGCCCAAGGTGATGGCAGAGGGGTATAATGCTGCACAGGATGGTTCTGCTTATTTCATGGGACTAAACTGTCTTGTTTGACTCCAGACTGCTTAATTATGCTGTAATCCCATTATTGCTTGTGTCCTTTCTGTGTTTCATTTATTGTTGTTTGAGGTAACTTTAATCTTGCATATGTTATTTAAAGGATCTTGTTAGAAGTTTGAGAGTATTATGCCAGAGTTTTTTCAGTCCGTATGTGATACTTTTTTTGGAGCTGATATTATTGTTGAAATTTCTACAGTATGAAATTGCCTATAAAGGACTATGTTTTTGCCTTGTTTTAAAGGTATTGAGCCTTTGTTGCTCCCATTGGCATTAGTGGGTTTTCTTCTGAAAAATAATTAAACAGACCACTCTATCTGGAAAGACTGGAACTCTATTAACTGAGAATTTGCAGCCCAGCTTTTGATGTTGGTCATCATGTGTTCTTATTTATTTGAACTTTTGTGGATATTTTTGCTAGTAATTTCATTGGAAAGTGATCTTGTAATTCAAAGCTACTGTATATTTACTATATTAAAAGTGAGATACTGCCTATTTGTTACTTAGTTGTATTTTTTTCATTATCCACAAGGTGGCACCTCTGAATTTTTCTTCTAGAGAATTTCTTTACTGCAGTGTAGGATAGAGCTTGTAGCTCAGCGCATCGCAGCTATGTTGATGCTGATGGCCGAGCTAGGCTGTATGATTATTTCTGCTCCATGTGGCAGTCAATTCTGTAATGGCTGTGTTAAGGCATCATAATAGGTGAAAGTAACAGGAAAAACTTACTTCATCATATTTATACCTTTCTTTTTTTTAAATGCACTAAGCAACGAGTTTTACATTCTCTGTTATAATCTCCAGGACACTTAGAACATGATCCAAAGAACAGCAAAGACATGTGGCTAGATGCTTGCAGAGAACCGCATTCTCCTGTTGCTAGTATACATGAATAAGTATGTTTAGTTTAATTTCACACAGCATGTTCGTATGTTCAGCTGAGACTGATCAGGAGGAAAATGAAGGGAGAGAGATTCAAAGGGGAAAAAATAGCATTTCCTATTGCTGAAAATCTTTATATTTGTAATCTTTATATTAAGCATTACACAACTCTGTGAGATACCACACAAGAATTTTGCAATCAGAATGTTCTGGCAATTTGAGGTTTTCCTGATGTCTAAACCATCCTATCCTGTGCTGCTATGTAAGCCTGTTACTGTTGTTTTGTCCTGTTAATAGTGAATCTCAGAAGATCATCTGCCTGCCTTCCTCCCCACACTCACTGTTACTTAAAACATTGTGGCCTATTTGATGTGATGTATTGCTTTTCTTCTCCCCTGAACAGAAGATCAGGTCTTCCCCAAGTCTTCCTTTTGCAACTTTCAGAACACTAAATTAATTATTTTCCAGTTCTAAAAAAGAATAAACCTCCTTATCCCAGTAAAAGCAATACAGGAGAATGGAAAATGCTGTAAAAGTTGTTTTCATAGAAGCCAGGACCTTCCCCATACTCTCTGCCACTCAGTCTTCCATTTACACGGTTTTACAAGACTTAATTTTTTATTTCCTGCTTCTTTGTGTAGTTTTATTTAAAGTATTTCTCACAAGCTGGGTGGGAAGTTCAGCTTCAGGTATACAAGTTCACGCTCGATGGCTTTTGGGTTGAACAGGACAATCTAAGTGTTGTTTATATCAGCTTTCAAGTAAGCTTTTACAGGACTTGTTCTTGGTTCATAGGCTGAAGTAATATAAAAGCAGCACTCTTGGGCACGGCAGATAAAAATAGTTCCCATGAAGTATGAAGTTGCGTGTTTGCATTTTTGCAAACAACCGTGAAGTGATAAGGAAATGGCACTTCCAAGTAACTGTCAAGGAAAGCCGCATGTTTTATTCTAGCTGTATAATGGTCATAAACCTGCAGTAATGGCACCCTTCTTTTGCGCAATACCGGATGTGGCGGTTGCCAACCGACTGAGAAAACCACTAAAGGAGGACTGAGCTTTGCTCAGTCATTTCAGTATTACAGAATCAACAGTTCATTTTTTTTAATTTTGTGTGACGAGGCAGAAATACTTGCTTGTCTTCTGGGACAGCTCAAATGCCAGTGAAACCACAGGTAAGTAAGTACTTCGTGAAAAAAACTGGGCCAGCAATAAGCCGCCGTACAAACTCCCAGGGAAAAAGCTCAGCTGCAACTGAGTGCGGGGACTGCTGCCACTGCCCCGAGCTCCTGGTGGGACCTTCCCAGGCTCCACGTCCCACATCCCATGGAGCTACTGGCCGTGCTGTTTCTCCTGCAGGTAAGTGGGCTGCGGGGGCTGCGGGCATGGAGCTCCCCTCCCGGCTCCAGCCGTACGGAGTGGGCATCGTTTGTCTTCTCATCTCCAAGGAGGGATGGCTCCTCCGTCCCTGGATACCGGGCTCAGGTCTCCGGGAAGGGGTTTTCCTCCGCTCCTCCTGCTAGGGATAGCAGGGCGTTCACGCCTGGCAGAGCACACTAGTGCCTAGTGTTGACCTTGCTGGATTAATGACGCCCCACAGTAATTCAGGGGCATTTCCACGAATGTTTCTGGGGGGGTTCGTGGTCCTGAACTGGGTTCAGCAGTGCCCATGGCTGGAATGGGTGCAGCAATAGCCTGAGCCGTTGCTGTGCACCTGGTGCACATGGAGGAGTGTGGAAGCCATAAAATACACAAAGCTTCCAATATAATGAAAAGGGGCTACCCATACACAAACGGGAAAGCAGCTTGTTCAGGAGGTCCAGCAGAGCTGAACATGGAACAAAGCTAATAAATACTACGTACAAATGCCAGGTTAAAGCCTTGCTTGCTGTTTTTACATCACAGAGGTTTTTCCTTGGGTTATGCAACAGCTTTACAGAGTAGCTCCAAGGCATTACTGGTGAACAACGATTGCTTCACAAGTTTATAACCTTGGCAACTTTATTTTCTTTCTTCAGAAAAAGGTCATAGGGTAAAGTCCCGACCTTTGCCCAAGCAGGAGGAGCTCTGTTTCATAGTTTAAATGCCACTGGAAACATTTGATGGAATGGGTCATAAAACCTCAAGCTTTCCAACAAAAGCGGTGAGAACTAGGAGGAATGTGTACAAGTTACCTGTGAGCTAACAGCAATAGTGTAATTTGAGTACTCTCATACTCCTTTGCGGTGAAAGATTTCAAGTAAAAAGCAGTGTTGGAAGCTAGTGCAGGAAGCCTGTACTCATAAAAGGGCAAATCCTGCCAATTAGGGTGCAGTTACCATTCTCAACAATTTATTTTACGCATCGGGATTAGAGACTTTGGGCCAGTGTTCATCTTCTGGTAAATCAGCTATGTTTGGAACACTTAAGAGGCACATAACAGAGTCTCTGAGAACCTGAAATATTCCCCATACTTAACTTTTTTCCAGTAGTACGTTTATGTCCTGTCAATACGAGACAACTTCTAAAGAAGCACTAGACACAGAGAGACAGAGGTGAATGTTTTAAAAATTGGAGATACTTGGTTTGAGAAAAGCCATAGAGATAATACCAGGGACTGTTAGATGCAGTGTCTGCATGTTTCTGGGACTGGCATCACCTGACCAGGGAAACCAGTATCCAAGCTCTCATGCAAATTCATTTGGAATAAGATGGATGATATTTGTGGAGTTTCCAGGGTTAGATACAATTTAATGCAATGCTGTCAGAACTGGATCAATATGTTTCTGTGAAGACAAATTGCTCCTAGACAGCATATGAATGGTTTCCAGTTAACCACACTTCCAATAATCATCTTTTTTTTTTTCCACAAGATTACTGCTGCCAACAGTTTTTCTCATGAAATTGAAAATTTCAGTTTAAGACAAGCCATCCGAAAGAAGAGTATTCAGGTTTGTTGTCAATATTATGTAATAACAGATATACAACTGTTAATATGTAAACTGTGACACTAAATACACTTCTTTATCCAATAGTGGATAGATTCTTATCAGACAGTCTACGTCCTCTACAGCGTACAAAAAGGACCTGGGTTATCACCACCATTGACGTTCAAGAGGAGGACAAAGGACCATTCCCAAAATATGCTGGACAGGTACAAACAACCTTTTACTAAAAATTCTTCCTGAAACTCAGTAAAATACTCATCACAACAGATTGTAAAATAAAATACCAAAGGTAGGAGAGGTCAAGAATTGTGCATCAAACAGCAACTTTTTAAAAAACTTACTTGTTCAAAGTTGTCTTATTTACACAGAGTTGGGTAGAATTTTGTGGTGTGGGGGATATACTGCTCCTTTCTATGGGCAGCTGTAGGCACACTCAGGGGAAAGAAGACTATAGAGTAGGAGAGGTGAGAGAGTCATTGCACAGAGCTGTGTACCTGCACATTGTGCAGAGAGTTGTGATGCTGCAACCCAGAAAGCTGTTGAGTTGGCTGAGACCAAGCCTGCAAGCAAGGCCCCATCTGCAAAAAGAAGGTGGGCAGGAAGAGAATTGGTCTGAAGTCTTTTTATTTCTGTTTCGTCTTCCCTACTCACACTGCATTGTGCTACTTCTCTTTTCAAAAGCTGTTCAATAACAAATCATTTAATACATCAGTAAAATATTTAATCAGTGGACCTGGAGTAGATGAATCTCCAGAGCTTGGACTGTTTTCTATAGAAGATGATGCAAATGGACATGTGTATGTGCATCGTAGCATTGACAGAGAGAAGACCCCAACTTTTCAGGTAATGCACTTTAAAAAAATTCTTAAAACTGTTTGCAAATATTAATTGCTTTCTCATGGCTAAATGCTTCGCAAGAATGAGACACACCTATAAGAATTTTAAGTGTTTATTTTTATGATCTCCTTATTTTGAACCTCTAAGTAAATGCTAAGATGATTGTCTCAGCAGAGACCCATAGGTAACTTCCACATCACTATTCATTATAAATCTTTGTGGCATGTTTGGATTTCCACAAATATCTATACACTTTTTTTCTTTCGTCTTTTTGGTATTACCCTTGATCATAATCTAAAAAATGAAAAAACTCAAGAACTCCTATAATCAAGAGAATGGAAGCAAATAGTTATGCATTACAAAAAAATAGATAATACTGTATTACTGTAACTTTACGTAAGAGTAAGCATATGTTTCTCCTTAAGAAGCAGAAAAGTGCTCATAAGCAGTAAGTGTAATGAAAGAAATGTGATAACAAGTGTATGAATGAAATATGTGAGTGTGGGTTTGTTTTCCTCTTGCTAAAAATCTTCAGTTGTGGTCTCCTTGTGTTTATTCTGTGATGATTTCTATTTGTGTCTCTGTGGATTAACTGTACCCAATTGATAGTTACTGTTCCATGTGGCTTTCTGTGCAAGGTCTTGCCTTCCATAATGAAAAGATAAATTTTTGGGAGCTTTCTATTCCCCCTCACTGGGCACATGGCTCTTCTGTGGCAGGCACTCTGGGCTTGGTTTTAAAGCAGAAATAAGTGTAGCAAAGGAGAATTCAGCATTCAGAATTGAATCCCCTGCACATTCATGGATATGGAGCCAAAACATCAAAGAAATACAGCTAGAGAAAACTGAATGTACTACTTCAAAAAATACTTTAGAATTGGGAAGCATATGTGAAAGCATTCTTTTGTGTGGCCCCAAAGATATTTATGTATTTTATATTAGGCAGTCATTTCAAATAATCCAGATCCAGGTACTGATTTTTTCTAAAGTATTGTTTAATGCACAGGATGACCATTATCAATCTACTACCTTTGAAAGCTGAAATAATGACTTAGTGATGCAACTCAAAGCCAAATGATAGCCAAATATGACTGAAGAAGCATCAAAATTGAAACTTTTTTGTTCCATTCTGATGTCTAAATGATACCATTCATTCCATTCTGATATCTGTGTTGCTACTCATTTAGATACGTTTTGATATTGTGTATAGAAAAACTGGTGAACCATTGGACAACCCTTTATTTTTCAAGATAAAGGTTAAAGATATTAATGACAACGCACCTGAGTTTCTCAAGGAGGAATACAGCATTACAATAAGAGAGAACCACAATAAAGGTAAGTGCCATCCAAACAAGGGACACTACTGGTTTGTGTATGACCGCTCTCTTTTAATTCCATTGTCTTTCTTTTTCCTTCCTTACTACATTTGTTCTTCTCCCTGGCTTTTACTTAAACACTTATGGGTTTAGGGACTATTTCCTGTGAAGGACTGTTTCCTACCTCTTGACTTCTTGTCTGATTAACCTCAATGTACATTAGCATAATATTGGAGACATTCTGGAAAAACTCCTAAGATATTTCTTAACTACAAGCCAAGACTTTAGCAGACTAATCTGAACTGTGGATCTGGAACCTGCACATGCACACTGCTTCACAGAAGGTGGTCAGACACACTGTTTTAGAAATAAGACTTCATCTGGGTGTGCAGACACGTGGGCATGGTGCCCACTCCTCAGGAGCTGGCTGAGAGCTGTGGCATAAATAGTGAATGTTTTTGATAAAGTAAATTCAGAATTGTAGTAACACTATCGTCTAACGGTACTTTAGGCAGATTTGCCACCCAAATGAGGTGGTGGCCAGAGTCTTTGCAGGGATAACCATAGCCACAGGAGAAGCTAAAGATTTTCTTAGGACTTGTGTGTTCAAGAGCCTGCAGACAGGCCTGAGAAACTCCATGTTGAGACTAAACACTTCTGTTAATGTCTCAATTCTTCATCCTAGATGAGCCAGTTTTCCAAGTTACTGCCTTGGACAAAGATGAAGACGGCACTGTGAATTCTCAGGTGTCCTATTCTCTAAGTATGCGAATGCCCCTTCCAGACGGATTCATGTTTAATATTGATCCTACCACAGGATCAATACTTCTGTCAGGATGCCTGGATTATAAGGTGATGTACATATGGCAGCTTCTTATAATTTAATGCGTGATACATGTTCACTACACCTTAACTAGGTATAAGGGAAAGGACAGCCTCACATCCAGCTTTGTAGCTGCGACTGGCAAAATACAGGAACTGCTTCTGAACTGAGTTTGGAGCTTCCTTTCTTCTGTTTTTCAGAGTGCCAACTCTTTCAAATTTCTGATTAAAGCCAGTGACCATGGAACACCCCAGCTGTCATCTACTGCAACAGTGAATGTAGTGGTTGAAGATGCAAACAACCACCTCCCTGTATTTACTAGCGATAATGTAAGGAAAAACATTATAACTTTACTGAGCCTTTCTAAATATAGTTCAGTCCCTCAAACTGCTAAATACACTCAGCAGTGGAAATGGGAACCCTCAGATGCAGAATCAGGCCAAAACATGTGCAAATGAGCTTTATGTGTTAGAAGAAATATGTCTTAAAAATGTGGACAGTAAGAGAATGCTTGACTATTGACAGTGATAAACTTTTTCTGTGTACAGCACTAGAAGGTTTTCATCTCACTATTAGCGTAAGGATGCTGACAGACTAGCTTATTCTAACATCTGAGAAGCTAAGGTGCTGATTACAATCTACTCCTGAAAGATCCTAGTTTTGATCCGTGAAGACCTCAACGGCCCTAAACCTGCCTGCCTGCAAACTCAGTACATCTTAATGGGGCAGTCAGGTGTGGTAGCAATGCTTCTGCTGTCATATTCTGTGAGGCTGCTTGTAGAGCATTTGCTGTATGAATGGGAGCAATTGAGCTTGCTGGCAGGAAGAGGGCTCTGAGGAGTTAAAAACTGTGAATGGGTAGACAGCTACACTTAATTCAGATAAGAGCAATCCATTTTCAGGCCCTGGTCCCATTAATAGCTCAGGTCCCAGAAAGACTGTTTTTGTAATTTGCATGTTGACACACTGTTGTGGTTTAACCCTGACTGGCAGCTAAACACCACACAGCCGCTGGCTCACTCCCCTGCAGTGGGGCGTGGGAGAGAATTGGAAAGGTAAAGATGAGAAAACTGGTGGGTTGAGATAAAGACAATTTAATGGGTAAAGCAAAAGCCACAGATAATAGATAATCTGCCAAAACAGGTTTATACAGGAAATCTGTGCTTCATTATAATTAACTCCAGTCTAGTAAAATTCTGAGCCTTCTCACAGCTGTGATTTGTTCCCTCTGAGTACATGTATTATTCTTCACAGCATTTTTAAAAGCTGTGATGCAAGAACAGTATTGTTTACATATTAGAAGGCAAGAGTCTGAATTTTCGGATCTCAACCAGGGACCAACTTACATGAGGAAAATAAACACAAACAAATTGCATTTTATTACCATCTCATGTTTTAAGACATATTTCTGCCTTAGGTGATTTAATTGGCATTTCTTAGCCTGTCTTTGGAGTGCTGGTTAGGCATGCTGGTGGCTACATTGCACCATCAAAAACTTAAACCACTGTGAAGAAATTACCTAAAATCTCACACATACTTGCTTTATACAAAGTCAGGCATGTAAAATCCGCAGACTAGTTCTGGTCTAAGCCTGTATGCACCAATCTCTTCTACATGGCAGAAGACAATCCTGGATGAAAAGCCCTAGTGGCATTTATGGGCCTATTACTATAGTCAGTAGTAGGAGAGACAACTAGTCTCCTGGTTTTAGATGAAGATCAGGTTTAGTAATAAGTTCTTTATGAAGTCAGTGGGAATGTGTTGGAGGAAAGTTAGTTCTGTAACTCCCATAGGGGTTCTCTGTCAGTGAGTGGGGACGCATGAACCACTGCAGACAATGACAGTGTGTGCAGAACGCAGTTCCACATGGTCTGGTGGTGGAGGTCTGGCTCAGAACTGTCTAACAAGCTTCTTCCTCTTGGAGAATAGAAATAGTCCTTATTTCTTTCCTTTCCCCTCCCAGTACCAGCTACAGGTTTCAGCAGGTCAAGAACATCCAGCTGTATTACAGCTCCAAGTGGAAGATAAAGACTCTCCCAACACTCCAGCTTGGAGAGCAAAATACAGAGTAATGAAAGGCAATGAGAAGGAACAGTTCACCATTGAGACGGATCCAGACACAAATGAAGGCATTTTGAGTGTTATCAAGGTAAGGAGCAGTAACAGATGAGCTACAGCATGGCAATGTGTAGCATGGGCAGTCTGATTACAAGACTGATAGCTGAGCATCTTAGCTGAGTTCCATGAACTCAGCTCACCTCTGAGTTCCAGGTATATAGATGTGACTGCCAAACCAAAGGTTATAACTGCTAATCAGACTTTTGTCTGGGGTTTTCAGCCTCTCAGCTATGAAGATGACTCTGAGATGAGACTTGTCATTTCTGTATCAAATGAAGAACCTTTCTTTTTGTGTAAAAACGGCACTGTGATGATCTCAGGCCTAGAATCCACGAGTACAACTGTGAACATCAAGGTCTTAGAGTTACAACATGCTCCTAGGTTTCATCCTCCTACACTTATTGTCCAAAGAGAAGATTCAATGAAGCCTGGGAGAGTATTTAGAAGGTATCCTGCCACATATCCAGATGATGTGCCAAATAAGATAAAGTAAGTGGAGATGCTTCTAACTCTAAGAATAAGAAATAGGTTAGGAATATGAAGATGCTTTTGAGTTTAATTTGGTATATGTACATATATGAATACACATCCACATATATATTTACAGTTATATGAACATATACATTAGAGGTGCAGGTTTACTATTGATGATACTGCAGATCCCCATAACGGGCTCTGTAAGATACAATTTAAAGGTGCAGTCAGTTCTTGGTTGCTCAATATTTCTGCTGTTTTCAAAACAGTTTTGCCTAAAACGAGGTTGCATTATTTATATTTTACTTTTGATGACAAAATTTTGTTGCCATAGAAAGGACTAAGGTATGTTTGGCTGTAGGAATGATAATCTGTCGTGGAAATTAGATACTTTCTTAGCCCCTAGGAACAGTTTTGATGGGCCTGTTCAAGGTATGGGGACTTGTATGGGAAACTGTTGGCTGGCTGTGTTAAAACACACAGCTTGTCATAGAGTTAACAAAAGTAAGCATCACTAACAAGTAAAAATACCTACAGAGCTCAAAAGGACAAAGAAAGATGCAGTAGCAATTTTCTATTCTTCAAAATCCATTCAAGATTGTAACTTGTAACTTTTACCTTTCTTTTAAAGATATGAACTAGCCCATGACCCAGATGGTTGGCTGAGGGTGGATGAGAATTCTGGAGTTCTTACTGTGGCAAAAGAATTTGATCAAGAATCCCCTCATGTGAACAACAGCCTGTACACCATTATTGTTCATGCTATTGATCATGGTATGTAGCCAGTCAAAACATAGTCAAGCAGTATTTGGACTGTTTGAGATGAGGTGCATGTTAGATATAAAATGATAGCAAGACTAAGGATCTAAGTGGAGAGTAGTAATGCAGAACACTCTAAGGTTTAAAACTTGTTATGTGTGACTAGTAGGATAAACCTGAGATCCTGCCAGTGGACAGGCTTTGTGCCAATGGACTCACAACCCAGTTGTGAGTGTTTTTCTGTTTCTTTTGCTCCTGTCTAGGTATTCCACCACAGACTGGTACTGGCACCATCCTGCTTTACTTGTCTGACATTAATGATCATATGCCAACATTAGTGGCTCCTTCTTTAGATGTGTGTGACAAAAAAGAAGGGATGCCTCTCATTATGAAAGCTAAGTCTGCTCCAGTCCATTCACATTCTGGGCCATTTACATTTGAGCTGGCTGAGGACTCTGAAGATGTGAAGCATAACTGGAAATTAGGAAGGAACTTTGGTGAGCTCTTCCTTTCATGTCCTTCATGAGAAGTTTATTGTGAGTTGTGTGCCCTCTAGTTATTTCACTGTCTGTTACCTTCATGGTTTGTTACTGATTAGTCTCAATGAAACTGAAGGGAAGTGTAAGGACAGCTTTCAAAATATAAAGTTACTGCAATTTGAAAAAAAGTTACATTGTTCTTCACCTCTGCTGAGGGCAGGACCAGAAGTGATGTGCTCAGATTGCAGAAAGGGGGATAAGACAGCTGAGGAACCACTTCTGCATTTGATTAACTGCCTAATGAATTCTAGGTGTTTTCAGTGCGTCTGTGCCAGAATGCAGCAAGACTGGGACAGATCTCTTTGCCCAGAAGGCTCAGCAAGGTCATAAAGTGGGATGTCATTTTGTCCTATTTACTATGGTGCATTAAGGCTGGAGAAAGTATTTGTAATTGGGGTGCAAACGAGTTTCCCCTTGATTATCAATAGAAGGGACTGTAGAATATCACACTTCTTTCTATGAGTCTTGAAATAATTTGCTTGTCTTCTTTTTTAGGGGAGTCAGTTGAACTTTTAATGCTAAGAAGCATTCCACAAGGTAGCTACTTGGTGCCCGTCATTATTCAGGACAGGCAAGGATTTTCTACAAGGCAGAATCAGCATGTTAGGCTCTGCTTTTGCCCAGATGGACATACATGTAAAGATTCACCACTTCCACAAGCAGCAGTGAGATTTGGAGGTGGTGCCATTGCAATAATACTGATGGCTTTCTTATTACTACTGGGTAAGTAACCTCCTAACTTACACGTGCAAGTTACCTGTCATCTGCCCATTGGATCTCATTGCAATTGCAGTTCATGAACGTGTGCTAAAATCTAGCAGCCTTAACAAGAAAGGCCATTGGCCTTAATGTGTTAGAGAGTAGTCAAGGGGCAAGCAGTTAACACTTGCACTCTTCATGGCGCTTCCATCCATATGTCATGGTCCATGACCCGTTCTCTCTTCAAATTTTAGGAAGACCTTAGTTTTCCAACACAAGATGTTGCCAGTTCCATCTAGTAACCGAAGAGACCTTTTTTTCGATAGCCAAGAAAACTTTCAAATTACTAAGCACTATGATACAATGTGTAATGCAGAGGAAGGTGGTATCCAAGGCTGACAACACAGGGTAAAAGACACTAGAAAGACCAGTGAAACTTACCTGCACTCATGCTTGGGATGTGAAGAGGTGAGGACTGTATTATAGAGAAGTGAAAAAGGGAAGATAACATAGATGCATGGAATACTATTGTATGAACAACAATAAATACAAGTATGTAACCTAGGAAAAAAGAAAATATCTAAACTGAAAAAACAGCAATGTACTGTTAACAGGTGGAATTTTTCAGCTTGTTACTTGTGAAAATCATGATTATATTATGGCTACAAGATGACTGGCAAATGTAAACGTGTTGTTAAGCTGAACTCTAGTGCAACAAAGTAAATATTCTTGATTGCATTGAATGAAATAGAATACTTCACTTTGACATTAACCATGTACTGGATAACTGGAAGTTATTAATTTCTTCCATAGGGTTACACTACTCAGTAATTGCTTGTTATAAAGCTGCTTCCTCTGTAACAGCTCATGTTGGTTACTGCTGAAGAGATGAACTACTGATTGTTTATCTGAAGCAAAAATTAATAGATTATCTGACCACTATTCCTCTGGTTACTTGTGAGTGATCTTGTATGTCTGCCTGCTCAGTGCAGTGCTCTGTGGAGATAACAGCTTGGCTTTCTAAAGCAGGCTAACCGCTCCAGGCCCAGCATTGTGTCTGCACAACTACATTGCTGGAGGTTTCCAAGATAGCTCCTTTGGAACTAGGCTGGGTACCTCACCAACCCACTGTATTGAGCCATACAGATCTATTCACAATGCCCATTTCACCATTCCCTTTCTTGTTTCAACAGTTTCCAGTATTCTACTTTGCCGGTTTAACATGCTGGGATCTAAAAGCAAAGCCATTGTTCCAGCTCAAGGAGGTGAACAGACTTTAATAAACTATAATGAAGAGAGCAGAATGTGTTTATCTCAAGTAAGTGCAAAAGCATATATTCCAATTACCCCACCAGTGTTGTGTGGCTGAATCTGGTACTAGTAATCTCTTTTATTACATTTCCTCTGGTTTTTGTATTGAGCAAAATAAAGCTTTTTTTTGCCATTAAGCATATCTGGGGAGTGGTGTTCTGCATGGACTGGATAATGCTACTCTGGGGACAGACTATTATCACTTCTACCATTTCTCAGTATCAGCAGGACCTTCCCAGGTGTCTCATCCTACTGATGAATCTAACAGATGAGGAGGCACATCATCTCTTGTTACGCTGCACATACTAGTGTTTTCAACAAAGAAGTAAATGAAAGTGAAAAAGGGAATAGTCTGCAAAAGTGTCATACTTCACAGGCCAGTTCAGTTTCTTATTAATACCATCCCTCTCCCTGTATGCAGGCTAAGCTGGATGTTACAGATCATGCTGCTCTACCACCTGTGTCTGTGGAGGCTGAAAAAGAAGTGATTGCTGAGGTAACTGCCTGTTTCCTTATGTAAATACCCTTTTTTATACCACAGAAATTGGTAATCCCAAGAATGAGATTTGGTATTAATAATAGTGGGAAGAATAATGCAATATACTTCAATTAGAAAATAAGTGTCACTTGTTGGAGACTCAACTGGTATTTAAAATACTGTTGACAACTTATGTTTTTCTAACAGCTTTTGAGACTGGCACTTCTTTTCATTAGTTATTGTTCTAAATATCTGGAAGTTTAATTTCTCCCAAAATTCTTATCACAGTACCTGAATTGATATGCACAAGATTTTATTCAGTTCTTGGCATAACTGAAATGGAACCATCATTATTCAGATACCTACCAAAACATGCTGGTCAACATCTTCTACTTAACATATCATAAAAGTGTGGACAGGATTTATGAGTATTTTTATGACCAGAAGATGTACTTCTGGGGGTTTGAAGGCTTTTGAATTTGTTCTGTGGATTTTTGTACTGCATTCTCTAGCAGATGTCTATTTTTATTGTAAAGAATGCCTGAACAAAATTCTGGTCTACATCAGTAGGTGACTGCCATGTGTTCTGTTCATAAGTATGTAGTGATCACCAAGAGACTCTAAGAACAATCTCTGTCTTACAGTAGGCAAAGAAAATGTAAAATAGTCTTTTTATGCATGTGAGAACCCAGTTCCACAATCCTTAAGACCATAGTTAGGAGCTAGGATTACCTGTGTGGGTAGATTTTATAAAGTTCTGAGGTCATGTTTGGTGCCATTAATGAAAAGGAATCCAATACATTTAGAGGAAGAAACATATTTAATTACTGGAGATTATTAAGAAAGTCTACAGTTGGTGACTGCATGTACACATGGAGCATGTACTGATAAGAAGAAACAGTCCCTGAACAGAAAAAGCTGCAATGTAACCGGAGGAGACAGCACAAGAGAAATGGATGTAACGGAGAAAGATAATTGGAATTATTTGTATCAGAAAGAAATGTTAGTAGGTGACTTTATGGTGGTCAAACCTGAGATACTATGTCTGTCTTCCAGGATGGCCAAAGCACTAGTTACGAGACATTCCAAGTAAGACACCTTGATTGCATCACACAGACAGTGGACAAAATACTGGGTCAGGTAAGAAATGAATGTTGAATCCCTCCTTTGTCAAGTTGGCATGTAAGAATAGGAAAAAAGGCTTGCAAAACTGGAAAGCTACTATGGCTTCAGCTACTGTCTCAGCCCACATCTAAGAAGCATTACAGTTGAAGGCAAGGGATATATTTGATGGGGAAACATTCAAGACTCTTCCTTGTTGAAAATGCCTTGTCTCCTAGACTTCTTGCTGCCTCTGGCTGGTCACCCAGCAGTTACTGCAAGGCTGGGGTCTATCACCTGTGACAAATCCTTCAAGACGCTCAGGTGGGGCTAAAATGCTTTCTGTTGCTGTGCAGAGTTAAAGTTTGGTTGCCTGCTCTTTCACTTCCATGCTATCAAGGAAATCCTCGTTCCTTTTGCCATGTCCTGTCTGGCCACTGCATATTGACTGGCCTGTCCTCCATGCCTCCTTGGGCCAGACTGCATGCCTCCACGCAGTCATGTTTACTTGATAGCTGTCTGGTCCAGGACAGATCAAATGCTCTTTTCTGTCTCATTTGTACTCTAGGGGAAGTTCAGGCTGTCGTGCTTATGCAGCTGAGAGTTTCAGTAAAACTTTTCCTTTTCAGCGAAAGACTCATACTCATCATTGTAATCTCCTGGCTTACCTGCCTAATTTGCATACTATGAATTCCTTTAATTTCCAAAAGGGCAGTAGGATCTTCCATGATGATTTGCATTGTTTCTTCCCTTCTTTAGAAACTATATTTCCAAAACACACTGGAAGATTACGGAGCCATCGATGAACCTTGCAGATATGCTGAGGAAGGAGAACTAGAGCGAAGTAACTCCTTCTGCTCTGTCTCCATTGGCAGTGAGGACTTGCCTGTTGATTTTTTGGACACTCTGGGACCAAAGTTTTCTGCTCTGGAAGGAATCTGTCAGAAGCGATTTCCATCACTCAATTAATTTCAGAAGGCTGTGACTACTTTATGGTGTTGCAAAGGCTTCTGGCAGAAGCACTGACAAATTCAGAAAAAAAGAACCATCTGCACTTGAAAGTGTTGCGGTGTGTTTGAACCATGAGTACCTGGCCTTTTATTCTTCCTGCCTGCACTGCATGCCTGCAGCCAAGAATGTGACGTGTCTGGAAGGTCCACCCTACTGTGCAGAGATGATGGAGTGATTTTGGCATATTCTGTGCAGACTTATGCAAATAGACCATCTGATATTAAGGATCCTCAATTTACTATGCAAAGGGAAAAAACCAGATCTACTAGGCTAGAAATTCCAGTCAAAGTTCCATATGGAAATAAGCCAGTTTTGAACAGAGAAGGCAGTTACCAGCTAGGCCAGTGATATACAGTCCTTTCTCCAGTAAATCCAAGATTAACTTTAGTACGGTGCCATGTGGATCTGACTTGATGATCAGATCTTTTATTTCTATATGACTTTCTTTTCTATTTTCTATATGTTTTCAGTGAAACATCGAAAAGAAAGTGCACTTCTACTCTTAGTGTGACTGTAACCGCATAATGACCTGAGAGATCTGCACCATCTTTGCCTTCTAGTGTAAAACAGGCACTGTAGTGCTTGCATGCTTATGCTGGCATCTGGTGTCTGTCAGTATTATTACACTATTGTAAACAATACTCTAAATGCTAAGAAATTGTTGACAGAGGACAAGGTATGGTTATTCCTTTCATTCAAATAACTACCTTCTCTAAATTAGCTACAAGTGACCATGATGAGGAAATTCATGGGTTTCCTCAAGCACCACTGATAAGACAGACGAAATAATAAAGAAAGTATGGTATCAAATTTCCCTATGTGGAAACCACAGATACTTTATTTTTAAACGTTGTGGTTTGTACATGTCTGAATGTGTACAGTTGACCTATGCTCAGTTATAGCATGATGGCTATTGGTGTTACAATACATGAATGAGGAAAGAATAGCTCAGAAGAAAGTACTTTGCCATTAGGTAAGTTATACATTCAATAAGAGGTGGAATTAGTCACAAATCTTACTTCTGTTCTATTACAATTCTGTGCTAAAAAAAAATTGCTTTCCCTGAGGCAAGCACTAAGTCTGGTATCTAAGGCACCGTTCTTCTGTTTTAAAGTTTACTTAAACAACAAATTATGCTTTTGCTCAGATGTTATTAACTGATAATTCAAGGCTGGAAACTTCAGTCAAGCGTGATTAAAGAATCTGGCTGAGTGGTAGGCAGCTAAGTTTTCCTAAAGGCCAGCAGCAAGATCTGTTTACACAATAAATCACTACTCCGGTAAACTGTCCTTAACTTATAACTCCAGATAGGAGACTTCAAGTGAGGCCAGTGATTTAACAGCACTGCTAATAACCAAGATGACTTTTTTTATTGCAAACTATAACCGTATTGGTCAGATTAGAATTATGCTGTGTTTTTCTATTTCTTCTGAAAATTATGCAAGATTATGAAAGTATTCTGTGTGTTTACTGTTTGTGTAAACTTGTGTTGGGTCTA